CACTAAGAGCTAGGTCCGATTACTATCCCCAATTTGCAAATCAGGGAACCAAGGCCCAGATAAATGAAGTGTGTTGAATAAGGTTACACAGCTAGCAAATCACCTGCTTTAGGACTGCATCATCCTTGAAATTGTTAGTAGTACCTGGTCAAAGCAACATAAATATTAGAAAATTTCATAATTATTAAATAGTATATGTAATTTTATTGAAAAATGCATATTGCTGCTTTTAAGAGTTCCTACATCTGTGGCTGAATATGTCTTATTAGTAGGAGAAAAAAGGTTGAGCATCAATTCTATTCCTTTTTGTAATTTTTATAGCTGTGTGCCCTGAGAAACCTTGCTAATATAAACAAGTACTGTGCCTAGGAATGGAAGAGTTTTGTTGTAGCAATATCATTCAATTCTTGACCTCAAAAAATTGGTTGACTTCAAAAAATATGAGCTGACTTCAATTAGGCCCTCCTTCCTTTTTATCAGAAGCAAAGAACCGAAAACCACCTGACTCGCCAAAGGATTTGTTTACTTAATCCTTATTTTTTCACTTTTTCAGATTCTGGGAAATATACCAGATAGGTTTTACCAAGATACCAAATGACTATGAATTCGACCTGATTTTTTCAATGAGATGTACCTTTCACCCGATATGCTGAAAGAGTGGAGAATATCTAAACATTGTTCATTTCATAAATAGTTTTGGATAAGATTTATTTTTGTTATCAGGTGGTTAAATTTTGTTTTTGTCAAAATTTGCAACTGCAGATTTAGCTCATTCAAGTTCAAAATCTTTGTCACTGGGCACAGTGTCTCACGCCTGTAATCCTGGCCCTTTGGGAGCCTGAGGCAGGAGGATCGCTTGAGTCCAGAGTTCAAGACCAGCCTGGGTGACATGGCAAGACCCCACCTCTACAAAAAAATTAAAGAAATTAGGCGGTGTAGTGCCGGGCATCTGTAGTCCTACCTACTTGGGAGGATTAGGTGGGAGGATCACCTGAGCCCAGGAAGTCAAGTGTGCAGTGAGCCATGATGGGGCCACTGCACTCCAGGTTGAGGGACAGAGTGAGACCCTTCTCAAAAACAAGAAAAAAAAAGATTTGCAAGTATGTTAAATGTTTACCTTATAACCTAATAAACAGCCCATTTTCATTGTCAAACTAGACAAATCAGATTTACTTTAAATCAGAAACAGTTTGACTTCATTGTTTCAATTCAAAGTATCCTGTTTGTTTTGAGGAGTTTGATGAAGATAGCAGAGAGGAAAAAATCATGGAATGAATCTTAAAAGATGAATTACTATATGCAGTCAAGGCTGGGCATGGCAGCAAACCCCTGCAATCCTAGAGCTTTGTGAGGCTGGGGCAGGTGGGTCACTTGAAGCCAGGAGTTCAAGACCAGTAACAAAACAAAACGAAAAGTAACCAGGTGTGATGGTGCAGACCTGTAGTTCCAGCTACTTGAGAAGCTGAGGTGGGAGGATTGCTTGAGCCCAGGAGGTTAAGACTGCAGTAAGCTATGGCGGTGCCACTGCACTCCAGCCTTGGTGACATAGTGACACCCTGTCTCAAAAAAAAAAAAAAAAAAGAAAGAAAGAAAAAGGCAGTCAAGATTACAGGATTAAAATAGCGTAAAATATAAATGTTTTATTCATTTTAAAAATTAGTCATGAAAAGGTAAGACTATAACACTTAATTACCAACAATACAACATATGTTGCTAAATTCTAAGTTTATAAGTTATTAAGTGTGTAGTATGATAAAAGGCGTGGTATTTCTTTGGTATATTTGGATGTGTTAATCAAATTTATTTAGCTTTTTGGGGATTACTAGTAGAAATCATCCATTAAAGTTCTGAAAAACTTTACAAATTTAGTTAGGCATAATGTCCAAGTTTAAAAAAATAAATGAGACAATAAGGTATTTACTGCTAAAAATGAATTGGGTCAGTGACTAATAAATGATTTGTGAACAGCATATAGAAAATATTAAATATTTTCTGCAGTGCAATAAGATGAGATCTTTATAATAGTTCACAATCCATTTTCTCGCCTTATTGAATAACACATACTGAATCTAAAAGATACATCATTGTGTCTCTGAGTTCAGGTTACACTGGGTAGACACATTATACTGGTTACAGTGTAACTTGAACGATTTTGTGGCCTTGAAAAACATTCTAGATACATTGAAAAGAATCTGGGTCACTGATCTGTACTGCCTTGGCTGTTCAAAGGTGATTTTCTTTTCATATGAATACAGGTCTTAGGGATGAGTATTTTAAATACCCGAAAAAGAACAACAACAAAAAGCATACATTTAATTTGTTTAAAAGACTGCTTTAAGCAGTCAGCATTTCCTACCAGTGACGTCTTTGCTGTGTTTCCTCCTGATTGTCTCTCTAGAAAAGAGTATATAATTTCTTTTTTTTTTTTTTTTGGTAAATCATTTTATTTCTTCCATGATGATTTAGAAGTACAAATCATGATTTAGAAGTACTATATTTAAACCAGTACAAATATTTCATAAATAATATCTGGCCATTTTCTAAACAATTGAGTAATTTGTTGCACGATAAGCTACCTCACATCTTGCAGCAAGAAATATGTTAAATTTGAATAGTAAAGACATTACATAATGAATTAGGACACAATTAAAATTTGCTTTAAATATTTCTTTAAGGTAGAGGACACCACACTTCTACTCAATGAAGAGAAACTTTTTTTTTTTTTTTTTTCTGTGACAGAGTCTCGCTCTGTCACCTAGGCTGGAGTGCAGTGGTATCATCTCGGCTCACTGCAAGCTCTGCCTCCTAGGTTCACACCATTCTGCCTTAGCCTCCTGATTGCTGGGACTACAGGTGCCGCCACCATGCCCAGTTAATTTTTTTTTTTTTTTGTATTTTTAGTGGAGACGGGGTTTCACTGTGTTAGCCAGGATGGTCTCGATCTCCTGACCTCGTGATCTGCCGGCCTGGGCCTCCCAAAGTGCTGGGATTACAGGTGTGAGCCACCCCACCCAGCCGAAGAGAAACATTTTTACAGTCCAGAGGTCTTTTATTTTTTTAATACTTATTTTGCCATGAATTCATAGGGAATAGATTCCAGCAGCTCAGGCTCCTTCCCGTTGGTTCTCACAAACTGTGCTTCCCTGGATGGAGCAGGCTGGCACTTCAGTTGAACCCAGGTACTTTTCTCTTTGGCTTCTTTTTCTGGTCATTTTCCTTCACGTGTTTCAGGAAGCTATTTTGGTTCTTAGAGAGCTTAATGTGCTCCATACGCACATTAATTCTTTTAGCAAGAATCAGGCCCTTGTTTGTATACAACAATGCCAACAACATGCTGGGTAACATTGTAGACTCTTCTACTTTTGCCATGGTAACACTTGGGGGGCATTCCTTTTTGAATAGTACCCATTCTCTTGATGTCTACAATATCACCTTTTTTTTTTTTTTTTTTTTTTTGAGACAGGAGACAGAATCTCGCTCTGTCCTTCAGGCCATAGTGCCGTGGCATGATCTCCGCTCACTGCAACCTCCGCCTCCTGGGTTCAAGCAATTCTCCTGCCTCAGCCTCCTGAGTAGCTGGGACTACAGGCGCACGCTGCCATGCCTGGCTAATTTTTTTTTTTATTTTTAGTAGAGACGGGGTTTCACTGTGTTGCCCATGCTGGTTTTGAACTCCTGAGCTCAGGCAATCCGCCTACCTCAGCCTCCCAAAGGGCTAGAATTACAGGCGTGAGCCACCAAGCCCGGCCTCACCTTTCTTCTGGATTGACACATACATGGAACAACTGCATGTTTTCTAAAAGGCCTAGAGGACATCTATTGGGTGCCTCTCCTCTTTCCCTTTGTGTTCGTCAATTTGGCGAATTACTAGAAGATGGCAGTTTCGGCTGAAAGGAAAAGAGTTTATTAATTTCTAGCAGTACTTAGGGCATAGAAGAGGTGAGATCTTCACAAAAGAAATTGCCATCCTTCTCCTGCTCTACTGTATGCCTGTCTGAATTCAGAACATTCCAACAAGGGTCAGATACTTTCTCCCTTAACAGGATTGACTCTCATTCTGTTCCCCAAGTCTGATGTCAAGGTGATGGACTTTACAGTTTGTGAATTAGGGAAGCAACAGTAGGTGATGATGGTCTCCGTTACTGGTAGCCATGTGTATGTTTAGGCACCAGATTCCTGACAAATGGTTGGCCCCTGGGATTTCTCCTTTGTACAGTCCAGCCTGTCCCCTACCCCTACCCAGTCCTCCAGACTGTTTCTGTGAGCTTGTCCAGTGAAAGTCAAACATTGATCTCCTAACCCCAGGGATCCCGTCTGATTATTCGGCAGAGTTGTTTCCTTATTTTCTTCCCCTTGTACCCCCGTGGGATCCCCACTCTTTGGCATCTCCATTCCTGACTAGTCTTTTGATAATCAAAGGGAAATTAATATTTCCTAAATGACTGTCCATCAACCCAAAGCTTAGTAGAAACTTTGAAAGTTCATTTTTCAATGATAACAGAAAACACAGGAGGAGGGGGAGAGGACATGTGTTAATATTATTTGTCTTTCCAATGCAAGCTGCATGGTCACACGTATTCTATTTTTGTTGCAGTATAATAGTGCCCTGTTATTCATAGGGGAGATGTTCCAAGACCCCTAGAGGATGCTTGAAACCATGGAGGACCAAACTCTATACTGTGGGCTGGGCGCAGTGGCTCATGCCTGTAATCCCAGCACTTTGGGAGGGTGAGGTGGGTGGATCACCTGAGGGCAGGAGTTCAAGACCAGCCTGGGCAACGTGGTGAAACTCCATCTCTACTAAAAATACAAAATTAACTGTGTGTGATGGCATGTGCCTATAATCCCAGCTACTTGGGAGGCTGAGGCAGGAGAATTGCTTGAACCTGAAAGGCAGAGGTTGCAGTAAGCCGAGATTGTGCCACTGCACTCCAGCCTGGGTGATAGAGTGAGACTCCATCTCAAAAACAAAAACAACAACAACAAAACCCCCAAAACTCTATACTGTGTATATTATGTTTTTTTCTGATCTGATAACCAAGATGGCTACTAAGTGACTAACAGGCAGGTAACATATATAGAGTCGATATGCTGGACAAAGGGATGGCATGGGATGGTGCAAGATTTCAGCATACTTGTCAGAATGGTGCAACACTTAAAATGTATTCATTGTTCCTGGAATTTTCCATTTAATATTTTCAGACCACAGTTGACCATGAGTAACTGAAACTGCAGAAAGCAAAACCTCAAATAAGGCAGGACTGCCATGACGGTGGGGCTGCAGAGTGTTACACAATGTTAATGTGAAAAGCGGGTATTGATTTTTCCCTTGAAAGAATTGTTACTTGCCCTAGGGTCAGGGCATGGAGGTGGAGTGGTACAGGGGGATGGTAAGGCAGAGAGGGAGAGGGATGGTTCTGGGACATTTGGCAGAGAATGGAAACTTCAGCTCCCTGCCAGGCTGGGAGTGTTCTAGGGCAGGGGTGCTTTGGAAATGGTGGCTTTGTGAGAATGTATTACCTTGAGGAGCTGCAGAATTCAAGAGAGTGGCCATGTCCTAGTTAGTGGGAAAAAGGAGGATGTGTCTGGGGCAGCAAGACAGCAGTAATGTCAACTGAGATGAGGATTGGGATACATCAGCCCATGGGATATTGGGGTAGGAACTTCAGAAGAGGAGGGAAATAGAGTGGTGACGGGGGTTTGGTGAAGTTGGACCTATCAATCACATTAGTTATTAATACTTTATGGGATGGGAGAGTCCTCTGTGGGTAATCTGGAAGACTAATAGTGGTTCTCAAATTTTAGCCTGCACCAAAATCTCCTAGAGGACTTGTTAAAATAGAGTGCTAGGTGTGCCATCCTGAGTCCCTGATTTGATAGGTCTGGAACAGAGCCTGAGAGTTTCCATTGTTAACAAATGCATTTAAGAAATGCTGATAGAGCACTATATGAGAAACACTGGACTAGACAAATCACAGCCCACGGGCCTAATCCAGTCTACCTGTTTTTATAAACAAAGTTGTATTGAAACCATGCTTTCTAGTTTGAACTTTTTTTTTTCATAAGATGATACTCCTTTTATGCAAGTTCCATTAATTTTTATACATTTCTTTGCTCATAAGGTTTAAACTCCTGGTAGTGATAGCAATCAGATTTATAGAAGTAAGATTTATTATGAAGTTAGGTAGCCTGTGTCTATTAATGCTACTGAATTGCTGGCTATTTTGAAAATTGAGATGTCAATATTACAGATGACTTGAAATACAAGGTATCTTTTATATGCTTATAAAGATGGAAAGAAGCTTTGCATTTAGCATTTTCCACTTAGTCTTTGTGAAAATTGTTCTTATTTTAAAAATAGCCTTAATGTATGTGCGTGTGTGTGTGTGTTTCCTGAATATTCTAGATGGTACATGGTATTCTGAAAACTGAAAGTCACACCTCCAGGAATAAAATTAGGAAAAGTAGAAATTGGAGGGAGGTCTCTAGAAATGATGTAATATTATCTGAATACCTCAAATCCAATCCAGGTCATCTGGGTAGAAATTCTGGGATGGATTTATTTAAATATAAATAAAAATTTGTATACCTAAATAAAGATTGTATTCTACATTTGAAGAAAGAGGTTTTTTTTTGGTTTTTTGTTTGTTTGTTTGTTTTTAGAGTAAGAGGTGGTTGGCATGCATCTATGAAAGGAAGGAATTCAAAGTGTGTAGAATTGGCAATGTCTCTGGAGAGCATGCATTTGCTATTGGGTGCCAGCCATTAAGATGATCTCATTCATTTCTCCTCTGATTCTGTGATAGTTATTGGATCATATTTGGCTTCACATTTGGATTTGCCTATAGGAAGAAAAGTGCTGATTAGTAAATTGAGGAAGCTGTCTACTTGGTAGTTACATCTCTCCCCATGAATGATTTTTATGCATAAAACCCTAAGAGCTTGGTGAATTTTTAAACCACCCAGGATTCAGATCTTTTTTTTTTTGTACTGATAGTCACCTCTTACCTTGCAAGACTGAAGGCTGGACCCCACACTATGGTCAACAAATTGAAGTGTTGCTGTGGGGGTCCAGTCAGGGTGACCAGCTGACCTATCTTAGTTAACATTTAATTTTATTGGCCATATTTTAAATTTAAGTTGTCATTATTACAACTTAAATTGTAGAGAACGAGTAGAATACTAGTAAACTAGGAAAAGGAAGTCTTTCTTGTAGAAAACTAGGAAAAGACAAAGAAGTCTATTGACAACAGGGAATAGGCTGGAGATGAGGACCTGACCCAAGCTGGACCAATTAGAACCCTTCCTTGGGAGTTTTGAAGGTAATTGGTATCCCTCTCTTGGCTACATTGTAAGCAGATGTCTGGAGTAGGTAATAACCAGATCCTCTGTCTTGTTCATCAAGCCAATCTGCTAAGAAAAAAAGAAATCCACTAATCTACAGAGCGAAGCACAGATGAGGATGGACAACGAACACCCTGCCTGCAGTCCGCATATTCCCGAGGACCAGGTATGCTTGTTTCTACCATCATTTGATTAAGTGAAACAAATTCACAACCAATAAAAGTCCTATTTTTAATAGGATGTGCATTGTTACAGTAACGGAAGGAAACTAACACAGGTAGGGATTGTGAGGAATTGTGCAGTGTGGATAGGCATCTAGTGAATGTCAACATTTACCAGCATCATTTACCCCTTTGTAAGCAAACGGAACATTGGCTTGACACACCAGTACTGGTGTGCATCAAAACATCAATAGAAGTCTGATACTCTTCAAGCTAGGTAAGTTGTTCTTTTCATATTGGTGCCTCAGTTGCTCTAGAGAGGTCATGGATTGGGTGGGGACAAGTCTTTTAAAACAAGAACTGTCTTGCTAGAAAGATTTGATTCAAGAATGATTTCTATGGAGTTTAACCATATGCCTCAAAAGTTGGAATTAGGCTGTTCATTTTTTAAGATAATAAATAAATAATAAAAGAAAAGAGAAGATATGCCTATTTCTTGAAAGAAAAGTGAATAAAAATACTCATCAGTGATTATTTTAAATAATTAATACTAAATTGACAATGGTACATTTTTGTATTTAAGTGAAGTGATTGTGGTTAAATGAATCCCTTTTTCTGTGACAAGAATAAGAGACTATGATTGAAAGTTGAGATTCAAATAATCATTACAAAAAGACTGAGTGACAGCTATGATTCTTCTTGATTGAGCATAAATTTAAATTTCTACTATTTTAAGTTATTAGAAATACACTTTGATGTGGCAAATATGTTGAACAAATTATAATGGTGGTTAAACAATTTTTCATTAAAGCATTTCAACAGAGAAGGGAGAAGGAGATGCACTTTGCTTATATATTCACATTTTCTGTTATTAGGCAACCGGACAGGAATTCTTACCATCTTGTTGGTGCTCATGTAGATGTGCTTAGGATAGGAAGCCCAGTGGGCATGGACCCCAGTCTCTGGGAGCCAATGTGCTAATTGTAAGCATAAAACATGCTTCTTATATAAACAATACATATATAAAATACAACAGGAGTAGTTGGATAAGTAGAAATGAGGGCAAAGTGGTAGAAAATGATGTGCATTTATGTATTAAGTTGGTGCAAAAGTAATTGTGGTTTTTTGCCATTACTTTCAATGGAAAAAACAGCAATAACTTTTGTACCAACCTAATAGAAGGGTGGCTGAGATGGGCTAAGCTAACCAGTGAAACACTCTGGAGAAAGTGGCCTTGAACCAGGAAATGATGGGCTGAAGATAAGAACAAGTCGTAAGCAGCTTAATTTTCAAGATCAGTCATAAGAAAATATATATTCAGACGTTCATAGGTATATTCAGTTTTCTTAATTTACAGAAAACACTAGATAGCTCTTTGATTAATGAATGGTAGAGGAAATAATTTAAATGAAATCTAAAGCAAAGGCAGACGTGTTTCAATTTCTTAGACTAAATGTGAAATGTATTAGTATAAAACAGGAAGGATGGATGAAGAAGTTTTTTTTTACAGGCATAAGGATGAAGAGGTGAAGCCTGGGGTCTTTGAATTTCAGCTGTGCGTTTCAGCTTTGCTATTTTCTAGCGTATGACCATGAGCAAGTTGCTCAACCTCTCTGTGCCATTTTTCTTGTGAAATTGTAAAAATAACAGAACTTGCCATAGGGTTTTAGGTACGGTTGATTGAGTTCACTCCTTCATTCACAAATATGTGTTGGGCTCCTATTATGTGCCAGGTGTTGTACTAGGAATGGGAGAGAAAGCAGTTGAGCAAAACAGACAAAGCCCTTTCCCTAATGGTGCTTCCATTCTAGTGGAATTACTAGTCAGAAAAGAAACGCACAAATAAAATATCAGATAGTGATAAGCACTCTGTAGAAGATTAAGTGGAATGATATGATAAAGGGTGACTGGAAGCAACTTGCAGGTTAGGGTAGGCCTTTCTCACCTCCGAACATCACGTTGAAGTCAGCCGTGAGAAAATAAGGAGGGGCAGCCCTGGCAGGGAGAACAGCTGGTGCTGAGGTCCTGGGGCAGGAATCAGCTCGATGTGTTTGAAGAACATAAATAAGGTCATTGCAGCTGTTAATGGGCAAGAGGCAGAGTGGCAGCAAATGAAATTAGATCATGTAGGTTTTTGAAAACAAGGATAAGGAAGTGTGTTTTGTACTAAGTGCAATGCAAAGCCCCTCAAAAATTTTAAAGTGGGAAGTGGCATGACTTCATAACAGATGTAAAGAGCTCATTTCCAGTCTTGGCACAAGATAAACACCCAAGTGTGTGTATGTTAGCTGTTGCCATTTCATTTAGTCCTCACACCAGCCCTATGTGATGGTTACTATGAAAGGAAATTATCCCAAACCTGAGCTGGGGCAGAACTTTGTAGGCTAATAGGATTTTCAGCCTCTTTGGAAAGGATCTAGCATTCCTGATAAAGCACTGGAGTATTTTACTATTTTACTGATAGTTGGTTTTTTGTTTTGTTTTGTTTTGTTTTTGTTTTTGTTTTTGTTTTTGTTTTTGAGATGGAGTCTTGCACTGGAGTGCAGTGTCATGATCTTGGCTCACTGCAACCTCTGCCTCCCAGGTTCAAGTGATTCTCCTGCCTCAGTCTCCCGAGTAGCTGGGATTACAGGCACCTGCCACCACGCCTAGCTAATTTTTTGTATTTTTAGTAGAGAAGAGGTTTCACCATGTTGGCCAGGCTGGTCTTGAACTCCTGACCTTGTGATTTGCCCACCTTGGCCTCCCGAAGTGTTGGGATTACAGGTGTTAGCCAGCACACCTGGCCTTTCTGATAGATTTTAATGAGGTTTAGAGTCCTTCTGGGAAGCTAGATTGGCACCACTCTGCTGTTATTTTTTAGATGTGTTCAGTAACCTTTAACCAGACATTTAAGGGCACAATACTCTTTAAGCCTTATGCTATCTTAATAATCTTTAAACCAGATATTCCTCTTTTCAAATTCTAGCTGAATAATATTTATTAAGTCATTTTTTCCTCCCAAAAGTAAATTTTTGAACTAGTTTTTTTTTGAAGTCTTTTCCCTTCCACCAAGCTTGAAATAAAATGTGTGTCAATGTTCCATTGAATTTATCTGAGAAACTGCTTTGACAGTATTATTAATATCACCATTTTACAGACAAGAAAACCGTAGCCTGTGCATTTAAGCGCTCCATCGTACCTACACCCAGGGAGAGCAAATTAAGCCAGCGTTCTAGGAAGCAACAAAGCAAATCTGAACCCAAGAGGTCTCAGTCCCCAGTAAGAAAAGAATCACTCATTTCTTTTACTGGAATCCCATTATTACCTGTTTTATTTCATATTGATTTGTAAAGACTGGTAGTCTGTGATTCACTGGGGCCCTCTTTTTGCCCCCAAGATATATGTGTGCAGTTTACTCTCACTCTGCTTTCTAACTTTGAAAAGTTCTAATTTGCTCTTTCAGTAATGGAACCCAATCTTGACTTGGGTGAAACTTTTCTCCAGTTTATCAAGAGCCATTTAATCGATTTTTATGGTCTAGAGTGTCACTTCCTTGGCTCTTCAGCCCATCAAGGCTGGAGCTTTAATTCATTAGTGTGTATGGCTTATGCCAATCAACTCAACCAGATTGTGTGGGTCTGCTGAGCTGAAGTAAATTACTCATTGGTTCTTGTGAGAAGAACCTTGAACGAGATCACTGAGGGATGCTAAAACAATCTGGATGCTTTTGGACTGGAGAATGGGGGATCTCTTTTCTAACTAACAAGCATTATATTCTTAGAATGAAATCAATTCCGTGGTGTACTGGAGTCAGTTCAATCAACTCCTGTTACATTTTCAGGAAATTTGTGAAATAGTTCACGACAACTTTATAGCTTTAAAATGGCCATTGTGTCTGTATTTATGCCACAGAAACTGGCAAATGCCACGAATCAGGGCTTTCTTTCCCCATAGAGTCTGTTTTTAAACACTTAGCGATGTTACCCAAACAAAACCAGGGTTCATTTTCCTGGCAAGCAATCAACAACTCTCCACAAGAACACAGGTTTTGATCCATAGGAGTTTTATTACTCATCACAAGTAAGGAGAGCACTGGGAGCGTTCTCTAAAGCAGTGTCTCTGTGAGGGAAAGTGACAGGGGAGTTTTATGGGGCGATGGAGGGGGAGAGAATGTGTCATCTCATGCAGGGAAGGGGTCCCAGTGGCGCAGATGCAGTGAGTCATCATGCCAGTGCATAGGTCACCTGCTTTATAGCTCCTTCTGGGCGGGAGACATTAGCATGGTAATGAGGAAAGTTCACTTGGGTTCATCTATAAGTTGCCAGGGTCTGTCAGAAAGTGGTTTCAACTGACTAGGTGACTGCATTCCACACAGAGCCTGAAACAAACAGTTTGTAAGAGAGGGAGCTGTGTGGTTTGGTAAAGCCCACTGAGCTCCTATGGACTCTGGAGACCTAGCAGTACACCATTGCAAGTGCCTTGCAGGTTCTCCCTGCTTTCTTCCTAGTTATAGGACAAGGAGAAGATAGGGAAAGAGGAGAAACTGCCGATGGGCTTTTGGCTTCTTGCCTGCATTTTCACTGCCAGAAGTTCTGTAGTCAAATAGACCCCACACTCCTAGTAACAAATGAGGTTTGCTGTCATTTCCCCCCCTAGGGTTGAATACCAGCTCCATAGCTACTTGCTTTGGGACTTTGGCTGATCAGTTTATTTACATCTCTAGGGCTCAGTTTCATTATCATTACAATGAGAATAATACCACCAATCTCGTTGTGTATAGATGTATGTGTGTGTGGGCGGCGGGGTGGGGCGTGCTGGGGATGGGATGGGGTGGTAAATGATATGGTTCCCATTAAAGTCTTTGCTGAAGACTTGGTGCATTGGCTCTCCATAAATAATAGCTCTAATGATATTATTCAGTAAGTTCTCACACATGCTCAGAGGTAATAAAAGAAAAACTTCATCTGAATTAAATTTAAAGGAGTTTAATTGAGCAATGAACGACTTGTGAATTGGGCAGCCTTCCCAGCCAGAGTAGGCTGGGAAGAGACTCCAGCACAGCCACGTGGTGGAGAAATATTTATGGACAGGAAAAGGAAAGTAATGCCCAGAAAACGGAAGTGAGGTGCAGAAAACAGAAGTGAGTTACAGAATTGGATTGGTTACAGCTTGGTGTTTGCTTTATTTGAACATGGTTTGAACAGTTGTACATTTGCTTGACCAAAACTCGTGACTGGCACAATCGTAGGTTATGGTCTATTTACACCTCCACTTGTTATAGTTCACAATGTACAGAGAAATCCTTAGGCTGAAATTAAAGTATGTAAGGAGGCAGCTTTATGCTAAACTTGATTTAACAGAGGGCACTTGTAAACTACGATTTCATAAAGGCCTTTCTGGTAATGTCTGATGCCTCTGAACCAGCCTGACTTGTACCATTTTCCCCATGAGCTCTCTCTCTCAATATCTCGCTCTTTCTCTGCCTGTGACCTATGTGGGCTGGAAGCCCCAGTACAGGTGTGATTCCAGTACATTGCAAGTCTCACCAGGCACATATTTTTCCATTCCGTTCAGTGCCTGCCTTCCAGTGGTACCCCAAGTGTATTGAGCTTGACAACTTTTTCAGCTATAAATAAGTGGTGGTTGGGGCGAAGGGGTGGGTGTGAGAAGAGACTTATCTTGAAATATGTTGATTTAGGCTGGATGGCTTTTCACTGACTTGCAGAAGTAGTATTTTGTGTCTCTATGCAAGATTCCCCCTTTATTTACTGCAAGGATGTTTTTATCAGGTTAAGGAGAAAGCTGAGGTTGGAGAAGGCGTGCTTTTCTGTTCCCTTTTATCTGTCAATTTCTCTCCTCATTCTGCAAAATCCCCAAGATACCATGTTAGAGTTAAATCAGTATATGATCAGCAATCAGACAGGCCTGAATATGACATGTGATTCTGCTACTTATCAGCTGAATGACCTTGTGATGGTCATTTGAATTTCTAATCTTTAGCTTCCTGATCTACAAAATGCCTCTCTCTCCCTTTTTGTCTTTCTCTCTCTCTCTCTTTTTATCTGTCTTGGGCTAGCTCTGTACTTCACAACCTGGCTACACATTATATTTACTTGGGGAGCTTTTCAAAAATAGTTAATTCCTGGGCTCTGCTCCAAAAGACTGATTCAAGTGGACTAGGTTTCAGCACAAACATCCATCTATTTTGGAAGCTCTCGGTGAAGTACTATGTATAGTGAATGTTAGGAACTGCTGAGCTTCTCTTATTAAGCCTCTCTGGACCCCGTCTGGCCGCCATGCTCTTTACCTGGGTGTCGCTGGACCACAACAGCTCATGTTAATACAACATACAAAACAATCCATTGGTAACAGTCACTTTGTAACTCCAGCCCTCCACCTGCTCAGATTGGCAGGCAGTGCAGTCATCTGTAACTTCTTGTCTTCAGGAGCCCTTTCATGGAATGTGCAAGAACCCCTGTTGGTGCTCTGCAGATGAGAAAAATAGCTACTGAGATCCTTGTTCACTTGCTGAAGCTGGAAGGCCTTGTGGTCTGGAGAAATGCCAACTTTTGCAGTGGTTCATCTGAGAACAGTGGATGCTGGTCTTTCTCTGGGTAATCCTTGGGCAAGAATACTCTCTCCCCAATTGGCCTGGGTTGCCAGGGAAGAGAGTATTCATCTGAGAAACTGCTTTGAGAGTATCATTAATATCATCATTTTACAGACGAACCTTAGAAATGGTAAGATGATCAATGTCATAAGAGGTAACCTGACCTGACCATAAGACCTGACCTTAAGAGGTCAGGTCTTCCACTTCACCTAAGTGAAGCCAAGCTTCCCAAGGCACAGCTCAGCACCTGGGGAGCCACATTGCAATGAGTTACAGCACCATCCACCTACTGCCTAGAACCACCATTTTGTTCCAAAAACGTAGGTCTGGGTTACCCAGTCCACACTCCATCTTCCTGTTGGTGATTTTCTTTCATTTCTTCCCTCCACCTGGCCCCAGGTGGGTACAGTCTTGTCCATCAGATGTGTTCTAATAAATAGTTAAATACCAAACCCTCTTCTTCCAGAAGCATCCTTGGTTCCTTCTACATATATGTGTAGATTCATATATGTAAACTAAGTATGAAAAAGGATCTTTCATCAGTTTACTTATCAGCTTCTTCTAAACCCATGCTCTTTCCAAGCTGCATATCCAATTTTAAAAAGTTCCTATTCCAAAACCAGCGGGTAGGAATGAAATTACTTTACCCAGGTGTAACTCAAAAGGATCACTGAGTGATTATTTCCAGAACAATGGGATGACTTGCTCCAAAGGTAAGTTCAAGTTTTCACCATGAACATATAAAACACCCAGGATTTCTTAGTTTCAACCAGTTTTAGGATTCAATCTCTGCTAGTTAAGTCATTATATGTAAATGCCGTTGATATGAATGTCGATCTCACAGGGTTGTTGAGAATAATACATGAGATAAGATGTAGATAGATCAATTTGTAATATTTTATTACACTGTTGCTAATTGGCTAAGCTAATCAGCATCTTATTAGAATTGTCCCTTTGGGCAGTGAACATCCCTCTTCCTGTTCCTCCTGCGCCCTTCCTGTAGTCAGTGTGGTAGCTCTGACCTCTGGTCAGTACAATCCAGTGGATTCTAGATTCTCACCACATCACCACTAAGATTATGGTCACGTTAACCAGGGTGATGGGGCCTCTACATTGAAATGCAGGGCTGTGGGATCAGTGATACTTGCTGTCTTGCTGTCTCCTGCTTTGGTTATGAGAGAAATTCAAGAAAGCAGCTCTTGCTCAGGTAGACTTTGGGTTAGTTCCTGAGCTTTGGTTTTCCTCTGGATTGGCCTAAAGGTCTTAAGGGGTTGAGGAGAATACTGGAGAATGTCTGTTATCATCCATGTTCTCCAACAGAGTAAAGCCAAAACATTAAGTACTGGAGTTATTCAGTACTTGCCTTCCCTAAGGGAAGTGTAGTACTTACTGTGTCTTGATTCTCATGGAGCTACTTGCCTCTGCCCTCTGTTAGTTAGCAATCTGGAAGGGAGGAGGGTTGTACTCAGCATTTCTAAATAGACAATAGTTCTCCTGATTGAAAGGCTAAAACACTTCCACCCTGGAGTTTTACTGACCACTGATTTTTTTTCTTTTTTTTGAGACAGGGCCTTACTCTGTCACTCAGTGCAGTGGTGGTACCATCTTGGCTCACTGCAACCTCTGCTTCCTGGGCTCAAGCTATCCTCCTACTTTAGCCTCCTAAGTTGCTGGGACTATAGGCACGTGTCACCACACCCAGCGAATTTTTATATTTTTCATAGAGACAGGTTTTTGCCAAGTTGCCCAGGTTGCCCATGCTGGACCATTGACATTTTAAGAAATGTATGCTTGTCCCTAAAAGGGGAGGTCAGTTTGGGATCCTCCCTCATGGATGATGTGAGTTTGATTACGTAAGGGGACTGGTTTATCTCTCTTATGGGTGGTCACATAATATTCAGGAGGTGTACTGACTAGGCTCAATGATTGACTGGGTGAAGCAGGAAGGAGGAGGGGAGCTATCCAGGTAGACAGGTTTTCTCTGGAGCAAGAGTTGGTTGACCTCAGCCAGCAGGTCAAATCTCACCTGCTGTCAGCATTTAGTAACTTTTTATTTTGAAATGATTTCAGACTCAACTGCCACCTGTGTTATAAATAAAGTTTTCTTGGAACATTACAACTCTTACTTGTTTACATATTGTCTATGGCTGCTTTCATGCTACAGTGACAGAATTGAATAATTGCAATAAGAACTTATTTGTACCCTTTGGCTCTTTATGAAAAAAGTTTCCTGATTCCTGCTCTAGAGTCAAAGATGCTTCTCAATCAAAAATACTCCCCCAAATTGCTGTATGTTTCATAATCTCCCTCACTGTGACCCAAAGGCCACAAAACCCTTGTAGAATCAGAGAACACAGGGTTGGAAGGGGGTATTAGTGGTCATTCAGTGCAATTCCTCATATATAAGGCCAGAATCTCCCAATGGTGCCCCTTCAAGCAATCGCCTAGTGATGGAGGCATATCATTGTGTGTAGTAGTCAGCTCAGCTTTTTTGGGGAAGTTCTGGCTGTTGGAAAATGATTTCTTATATTGAAATCATTTAGGCTGTGGTGGATGAGAAAAACTATTAAAGTGTTATTATTTATGACCCCCTCTCCAGCCTTTGAAGGAGGAAGACGTCATCACCAGCAGAATGGGCTGTACCACCTGTGTTGTGTGGATCAGCATGATGGATGGAGAGGAGACCTGAAGATGCTACAATGGCAAATTTGCTCTACATGGAGATGCTGGATGTCCCTAGACATAAAGACCCACAAAAGGATGCTGGAAGGGCGTGGCTGGACAGGGGTGGGGTGAAGGAGGAGCTGCAGATGAGGAAGGAGTCAAGGTGTAGAATTTGTCTCAAATTATTCTTCAAAGCTTCTCAGGTAGGATTTGGGCATTTGGGTGCATTTCTAGATGCTTCAGTCAGTTGAAGAAAACTGGGGAAACAAAGGTGCCCACATGACGTGGTGCATTTTGGTTGTGTCTGTCACCTTGAGGCTCCCATGCATTGGTCTTCTATTCTCAGTCCAAACAACTTTCAGCCCAAGTAGCACCCTAGCAATTAATTGTCCAAATTCTACCTCGTTGTCTTTCTCCCTAGCCACAGATTTCCTCCCCTCTCAGCTCAAATATTTCTTCAAACCAGCATGTGTGGCGGGAGAGAGGTGGAGGAAGGCTATGTGCCATCTTTGTGGCCCATGTTGAAGGTTTTCCAGGGTACAGGGTAGTGCCACGATCTCTAGATGTGCATTAAGGGCTCTGGCTTCCACATCTATTTCTGCAGTAACTTTCTGTGCAACCTCTTGTCATCATTTCTCTTCTTCATACTTTAATTTACTTTTCTGTAAAATGAGCTGGAGCTGGAACAGAGTTTCAACTTTTTTTTTTTTTTTTTTTTTGAGACAGAGTCTTGCTCCTTCGACCAGGCTGGAGTACAGTGGTGCAATCTCAGCTCACTGCAACTTCTGCCTCCTGGGTTCAAGTGATTCTCCTGCCTTAGCCTCCTGAGTTGCTGGGACTACAGGCACACACCACCACACCTTTCTAATTTTTTGTATTTTTAGTAGGGACGGGGTTTCACCATGTTGTCCAGGCTGGTCTCGAACTCCTGACCTCAGCCGATCTGCCCACCTTGGCCTCCCAAAGTGCAGGGATTACAGGTGTGATCCACTGTGCCTGGCCTCAAATGCTGCTTACTGAGCCTTGAGCCAAGTGACCTCTGGGGTCTTGAGCAAGGTGAGCAGCAATGTAGATGCTAAAAGGCCAGATTTCCAAGCCGCCCTGGGCAGCTTTCTTCAAAGCAGTTATCTATTGGACAGATTGGGGTCCATTAAAACCCCGAAGTATTTCCACTGCTAAAAAACAAGCCTAGAATCCAATGAACTATCAGTCTTTCTCAGTGTGTGGTGCAGGTCCCACTAGGGAGATACAAGCTTATGTATGATGCATGGATGAACATTTTAAGTTTTCATAGTTATGTTTATTTTAAAGTCTATTAGGAAAAAAATATAACTATCACATCAAATGTGTGATTTCATTGATATTGATTAAGATGAAGCTACATTTAATTGAATAAGTGAGCTTACTTGAAGAAAGAGAATAAGTAAGTAATAGTGCAGGTGGTATAGGATTATGGCCAACATGATTAACATTTGGGAAAATGGGCAAAGCGACCTCCACAGGCCCTCCTGGCTGTGACATTCTAGCATTCCTCCTCCTCCCCATCTTTTCTCTTGTTTCCTCTCTGTGGTCATGTCCTCCTCAGCGGAGACGGCATTATAATGTGTACTTTCAGATTCAAAACAGTGGCCTTGACATGCACGAGGTCTGCGCTCTGTGAGTCCCCTTGGCCCTCCCTATGAGAGCTTTACTTTGGTCAGGGGGCAGCTCTGTTTTCTTACCTTCAGTTTCTGATGAGGTACATGAAACCCACAGGAAGCAAATCAAAATGAAAGCAAGAAAAACAAGGCTCGGCAGAGAGCGGCTATCTGCACTTCACTTGGGATTAGAGAAGGCGCTTTTGGCTCCATTAGCAGAATACCTAATGTGCTTGTGTTTGAAGAAGCAAATCTGCAGAATTAGCAGCCAGTGAATTGTTAGTCTTGCAGGCTGTTGATTCTGTCTTGCTCTTTTTTAACCATCAGAACTCACTTAGTTTTATTTATTTTTTGGCATGAAATAATTTCCTATATCCTCTTTTTAACTCACTTCTAGTAGGATAGCACATCTATTTTTCTCGTTCTGAATTCTGGATGATTTTATTGTTGAGGGAAGACAGTAGATATTGCATATCTACTTTCTTTTTTCTGTTATTTATTTGTTTATTTTTTACAGTTTTATGTAAACACAAAGCAGGCCCATGAGCTGCCTACTCATTTTCTTCACTGCACAACCTGGCATTGGGGTTGGCGACTTGCATGGCCAGCTGGGTGGCCCTTTCCATGATGGCTTTGCAGTTCTTGGAGGAAACATTGTGATCAGTCTCAGCACAGTAAGATTTGTTGCACATCAACGGTACTTTCAGCTCCTTGACGTTGTGAACCAGGAACTTCTGGAAGCCACTGAGGAGCATATGCTTTGTTTTTTTGTTGCTCCCATAACCACTGTTGGGCATCAAGATCTGGAGCTTGAACCTTCTACGAACCTTGTTGTCAATACCGCTGGATTTCCGCCAGTCACGCTTAATTTTGATATATCAGTTTGACTGGTGCCCAATGAACTTCTTGGTTCTCTTTGTGACTATTTTGGGCTTCACAAGGGGTATGAAGGCGGCCATGATGCTGAGGAGGACATGGCTGCCACCTCCATAGGCAGTGCCAAGGAAGAGAGAACATACCTACTTTCTAATGTTGGACTTGCACTGTGTGTCCACAGTTGATGAAGTGTGGCATGCCATGGTGGACAGACCTTGGGCATCTGGGGCAGACAAACCTGGATTTAAACTTGGCTTAACCATCTGTCATCTGTGGACAGGCCTTTCTTATTTAAATAAGGTTGATTTTTTTTTTTTAATTTCTTAACAAGAATTATGCTTTTTTTCCCCCACAGAATTTTTTGTGTGTGGATTTAAGAGGCAATGTATAAAAAAAACTCCAGCTTCAGTATGTTGTTTAGATGTGTAATAAATATCAGCTCTTTTTTCATTTCTCACAAGCTTGACAAGTGCTTGTACTAGATACTACAGCCAAAGCAAAGATGAATATGACATAGGCCAGGATGGCAAATAAGTTTTCTTTCATGCCCAGCTCTCATGAAGTGGTGAAGCCTCAGGGAGTACTGTGTTGAGATGGATTTTAAGGGTCAGCAGGGAAGAGTGGTGTAGTGGATTAGCCATATCCTTCAAGGCTCAGGAGGGGGCACTGAGGAACACAAATGTCACAAATTTGCCATCACTGACACACCTCTGTTTTGGGAAGTCAGAGCAAATGGAGTGTGAAATTTGTGTAGAAGAAATGAATAGCTATTGAACATAAGGAGAGTGGTAGACACTGTTACATGTGTTATGTCTTGAATGCACTCAGCAAACTGGAGAGGAATGAATTACTCTTTGCAGGACAGTGCTCCAGGTGGCCTTGGACCAAACCAGTTTTTACTCCTTTTCCACTTGTAGTTCTCAAGAGTAACTATAGAATGTGCCACGAGTGTAGCATCTGAGATAAAGGGGGAGATGGCTGGAACAGTCATCTCCTGTTCCAGTTCTGTTCCAGTCCTGCCCCGTCCTCCTAAAGAAAAAGGGTGTCCTCTGCATGTTCTCACTCATAAGTGGGAGTTGGAGTTGAACAATGAGAACACATGGACACAGGGAGGAGAATATCACACGCCGGGACCTGTAGGGGGTGGGGAACTAGAGGAGGGATAGCATTAGGAGAAATACCTAATGTAAATGATGGGTTGATGGGTACAGCAAACCACCATGGCACGTGTATACCTATATAACAAACCTGCATGTTCTGCACATGTACCCCAGAACTTAAAAGTATATGAAAAAAAAGAAAGAAACAGGGTGTCCTTCAGTGCTTTAGCCCAGCATGTCATGTGACCATAGGGAATACAACCCAGGGTGGGCTGCTTTCCCTGGTTCCTTAGCTGCGGTGCAAGTAGGGCACAGGCAGACGGAGCATCATCTGCCTTAGGAAGCTTTTCTGAGCCTTGGGGACGAGCTTAAAATGAATCCCAGTCTTCTGTTATCCTTGCTGCCTATCTATAAGTAATAAATCTGCTTCATGTAACTTGTGTACGAATGTGTTCTGTCTCACTGCACCCAGACAAGTTGGCAACGAGTGCGTAGAGATCTGCTTCCCATTATTCTCACGCTGTATGAAAGAAAATGGAATCGTAGACAAGGTAAGTCATTTTCTCAAGATCTTACAAAGTAAGAAGTGGTAAGAAGAATCTGAGATTTGGACCCAGATGCCTGATTCCAGAAGCCTTTTGTTTGTGACTATTTAAACTCGGGTGTTCAAATGGAGTTGTAAAAAAGAAAATACTGAGGTAAAATGTAGGTACTTTAAGGTGTGTCCAAGTGCATTAGTCTTAAGTGCTCAGCTTGATGAACTTTTTTTTTTTGAGATGGAGTTTCGCTCTTATTGCCCAGGCTGGAGTGCAATGGCATGATCTTGGCTCACTGCAATCTCTGCCCCCTGAGTTCAAGCAATTCTCCTGTCTCCACCTCCCGAGTAGCCAAGACCACAGGCATGCACCACCACACCCAGCTAATTTTTTTGTATTGTTAGTAGAGATGGAGTTTCACTATGTCGGCCAGGCTGGTCTTGAACTCCTAACCTCAGAAGATCTACCCACTTTGGCCTCCCAAAGTGCTGGGATTACAGGCGTGAGCCACTACACCCAGTCTAGCTTGATGAATATTTAATTAGTTTTATATACTTGTGTAACCATCACTCAGACCATGACATAGAACTTACCATTCCAGGCCGGGCACGGTGGCTCAAGCCTGTAATCCCAGCACTTTGGGAGGCCGAGACGGGCGGATCACAAGGTCAGGAGATCGAGACCATCCTGGCTAACCCGGTGAAACCCCGTCTCTACTAAAAAATACAAAAAACTAGCCGGGCGAGGCGGCGGGCGCCTGTAGTCCCAGCTACTCGGGAGGCTGAGGCAGGAGAATGGCGTGAACCCGGGAGGCGGAGCTGGCAGTGAGCTGAGATCCGGCCACTGCACTCCAGCCTGGGCGACAGAGTGAGACTCCGTCTCAAAAAAAAAAAAAATAAAATAAAAAAAAGAACTTACCATTCCAGAAGCTTCTCTTGGGTACCTTCCTGGTTAAAAGTGTCTCCAGGAGGTGTGCTACTATTCTGATACTTACCACCATCAATTAATTTTGACTCTTCTTCAGTTTCATACAAGTGGAATTGTACAATATTTTCACTTTTGTGTCTGGTTTCTTTGTTCAACATAATGTCTATGAGATTCATCCATGTTGTCATGTTAGTAGTTTTTTTTTTTTTTAGTTTACTTTGTAGTACTCCATTTTATGAATATACCATGATTTATTTATCTGTTCTCCTCTTGAGTGGTAATGAATGTTTCAATATACAAATAACTGGGGAATACTACACTCAAAGGCCCCATGAAATACACAGACATTTGTGACTGTATCCATAATCAGTACAAATGCGAAGTGAGAGGGGATGATCTGCTAATGCATATCATATTTTGCACTGTTGTTGGTGATATGATTTACCAAATAGTGACCAACTCCTGGTAAAATTTATCATAAAATAAAGTACAATCTTTCTTCAATTGACCCTGGAAAATTCACTGGATATTAAATGGTATAAGAATTTACTTGTTTTTAGTTGTAAAATGGAGCAAGGTTCTAGGTTCACATAACTTTTTCAACTACACAAATATCTTGTGGGATATGTAGGGCATCTACTCACCCTGGTCCTCAACCATGAAATATCATTGAGTGCCCTTTTATCATAGCACCAGCTATCCTCACAGTTTTCCAAAATATCTTTGGGTGTGGTGCCACCTCTGCAGAAGCCCTGATTCTAACTCAGCTCTCTCATTTTACAGATGAAGGAATCATCCCTTTGGGGAGGGAAGAATTACTCACTGGAAAACATAGGGATTCAAACATAAAGCCTGGACCAGGACCACAGACTTCTGACTCCTTAGGCTCAATCCCAGTTGTATCCACCACAGCAATTGAAGCCAAGGATTAGAGTCAGGTAGGCTTGGGATCAAATCCTGTCTCTGACCTTGGGAAAACTGCTCCATGTTTTCAAGCCTCTGTTTCATCATTTGCATAAATGAGATTAAAAATAGCGTTTACCTTAAAGAATTGTTATGAGGACTAAGAGAGGTTATGACTTTGAATTCCTGGCACATAGTGAACTCTTAATTAATGGTAGCAATTATCACACTGCTTATTCCCTGCTTTAAAGCTCATTCATTTAAATGCCAACAGAAATTGTCATATCCTAGAGAACTTCTCTACTTGAACTTTTTTCTCTGTGGAGAAACACTTGTTTATCATTTGTTTCCAATACTTCAAATCATTCCTTTCCAGGACAAGGCCTCCTTCTAATCTCCCCATTTTCCTCCAAGATGTCCCGGGCCACATTTAAGGGAAAAATGTCTTGAGCAGAGTAGCTCGGAGGATTCTCATACCTTGACTCTTACTTAAAGAAAGGAAGAACCACCTTTGGGGCTTTGATTTGGTTTGAAAAGGCGGAAGGGAGGTGATATCAAGCACTTATTTTGAGCAATTATTTTGTACCAAGTGTATTGCAGGTGGTCTATTTTGTTGCATTCTCTCAAGAATAGTCCTTGTGAGGTGGACAGTTAAGGATCACCTCCATCTTATAGATGAGAAAGTGGGCACTCTAAGCTGATAAGACCCTTTCTTGAGGTCATACAGAGCCAAGATTAAAATATAAACAAAAAATAAAATTCTAGAGCCCCTCCAAGCAACTGAAGGGCCTCTCCTGGCCCTTCTTGGCCAGGGCACTCCAAAGTTAACCTGAAAAACTGGTTCAGGCCATGACAGGAAGGGGTGTCAGACATGTCTCATTATACCCTCCTCTCTTTAGGAATTCAGGAAAAGTGACCAGCATTTAACATCAACACAGACCTTAAGTCTGATAAGAAACATTTACATTCTATTCTCTCTGAAGCCTGCTACCTGGATACTTCATCTGCATGATAAAACCTTGGTCTCCACAACTTCTTATTGTAACCTAGACATTTCTTTCTATTGATAATAACTCTTTCAACCAATTGTCAAATCAGACAAATTTTAAATCTACCCACAACTGGAAGCAGACCCCCCAGTTTCCCTTTTCCGAACTGAAACAATATGTATCTTAAATGTATTTGATTGAAGTCTCATGTCTCCCTAAAATGTATAAATCTAGGCAAAGCCCCAACGACCTTGGGGTCTTGTTCTTAGGGTCTCCTGAAGGCTATGTCACGGGCCATTGGTGACTCATGTTTGGCTCAGAATAAATTTCTTTAAATATTTTAGAGTCTCACTCTTTTTGTCAACAAAAATCAGCTCTCTGACACTGTTGTGATTTGGGTTCTTTCAAAAGCAGATCCTGAGACAAGGGTTTGAGTGCAAGTGGGAGTTTGGGAGGTGTATTTATCTTTTTTAAAAAATATTTTTTATGACTGTCAGCTCTGAATGGACCCTTTATTAATAATGTATGTTCTGGGACTAACAAAGGCCTGCCTTTGAGCCTGTCTTCAAGTGCGCGCGATGCTAGGCTTCCTCAGTAGAGGGCGCTGGAGGACACCACAGCTGGAGGAGGGTTCTTGCCGGTTGTGCGGCGACAGCGGCTCAGTAGTGTGGGTGAGCAAGGACAGCGGGTGGAACTGGTCCTTCTGTGACTCTGCAGCCCCGGCTTGGTGATATTTTTTGTGCAGCCCTCTTGACATGGAAAGCAGAGCCCCCCAGCACAGAATGAGCGCTCCGAAGGGCTCCTGCCCTTACCGGTGCCCGGATTACCTTCCCTTTCCCTGTTTGCTGCTCTTGGGCCTGGAATTCAGCCTCCCTTTACAAGCTTCTGCTCGGCCTGTGTGCAGCTGCACTTAGCTGGCAGGGTCACGCGTTGAGTAGCCGCTACTTCTGCAGCCTCCAGCAGCCCCCGCCAGCTCCCGGGCTCCAGCCCTCACCATCAGTTGCTGACTGGCTCCCGCTGCACTCCGGAGGCTGGCTGCGCTCTGGTGGTTCCCAGCAATTCCAGGCCAGCTCCAGGCTGGCCAAAGCAGCTTCCCTGCTGTCTCGTGGGCTGAACCTCACCGTTTCCCAAGAGGTCTGAATCCCTCTCAAGTTCATCTTTTCCTAAGTTCTCCCTCTCAGCTTTGTAGTTTCCTTACGTCTATACTCTTCATAGTAGTCCATGACTCTGTGTTACATTTGTCCTATTGAACTTACTGTGTGGTTTCTGTCTCTTGACTGGAGCAAGGCTGTCACAGGAGTCAATCCCGGAAAAATGATGAGAGAGGAGGGACGAGAGAAAATCCAATAAGCAGTATGTTAATGAGTAGGTCCCACCTGGGGCTCAGTCGCACTGGTGTCCCTCTGAGAGTATGGGCACCACACACTTTGGGATTGCCCCAGCAAGGGGCAAGCAAGGGAACTGGGTGTTTATCCTCCGACTCATTGCTTGAGGCTTGCTCTTGGGGATGGTAGCTCCCTGGAACTTCTGTCGTGCCCTGCATATGTGGACTGTGCAGGGGATACTTCTGTGGCCAGAAAAAGCCCTTGGGCAGAGAGAAGCAGGTTCTTGATGCTGAGATGTCTGCGTGCTTGGGAGTTGACCACTGCAGCTGCAGGTGACCTCTGGGGTGGGCCAAGGGGATGTAGGTGGGCAGTGATGCATCTGCTACAGACATGTTGTAGGATGTGGGGCAGCAGAAGGAAACTGATAGCTGGATGCCAATGAGTGGCCCAGATTGATTCAAAGGTAAATTTGCTGGAAGAAGTCTGCTGCAGAAGATCAGATGCTTTCCTGACTGGTGTAATTTAATTGTATGGTCAGTGTTTGCTATGGATAATTGTTTTTTTCTTTGACCTTCACAATCTTGCTGGCTCAGTCACACTGGAAGACACTTTTCTAGCTCTCTCAAATGCAATAAGACTAACCTGGCTTCCACCAGGAGCTCGCGGGCTTGCCATTTCCAGGAGGTGCCGATGGCTGTGGCATGCAACCAGCAAACGGCGGTGGTGGTTGGATTTCCCATTTTGCCCTCTACAAGAATATTTCAGCTGAAGCAAAAGGCTTTTTCCTTTACTCTGGGTTTTTAAATAGAAATCTTGGTTGCATTAAGCACTTTTAATTCTGAGCATTAGACTGTAAAGTTCAAAGCTCTGTTCTGCTCTTGAACACAATGGATACCAAGGCAAGAGAGTCTAATAACAAGGAATACCAGAAAAAAAAAATATAGGCAGGAGACAAGTTTATTGCCAAGTGTTGTGAACAGTATTTGTGATTAATGTGGACCGAAAAAGGCTATTTCTACATTAACATCATTCACATCTGCAATAATTTAAACAACTTATTTGATTTCCCCAAGAGGGGATGTGTTCTTTCCACATATAACATGCTCAGGGAAGGAAGAACAAGGAAGCTTACTCTGCCCTGAAACATATCTGGGAGAGCTTTTCTGCTTTGGAAAGATCACCAAGTTATGTTGTTAAGTGACAAAAACAATGTCCAGAAGAGTATCAAATAGCTAATTATTGTGTAAGAAAGAAAAAAGGAAGACTACATGGTCACATTTACTTATATTTATATGAAAAGCTAATAAAAGTAGCTAGGTATACGTAAGGCAGTCAGAAACAAGACTTTTTAATTTATAACTTTTATATCATTTTAATTTAAAAGTGATGCTAATATATTTCCTGTTAAAGAAACAAATAACAACCTGCCCAGTGGAAAGCATCATCATTGTAATAATGTCCTAAGATCATTTTTTATGACCTTTGAAGGTAACTTAGGATAGGGAAATGCGTTCCATAAAATTCAGCTACCTGCACATAGCAAATCCTTGGCAAACACTTGGAATAGGGTGAAGGTTTTTGTGTGACCATGGAATTTTTTTTTTTGTTTACATCTCTGCTGCTATTCGCCATCCAGGCAGCAGGGGGAGGTGTTTCTCTGTTTTTCTTTGTGCCTCCCGCGCCTTCTCCCCAACTTCATATGCAAAACTGACCAAGAATTCAAATCTATGCACGAAATGCACCACATTTTCTAGATTCATGTTGTTACTCTCTCATATCCAAAATCTTTGGGAGACTTGGAGCTTCCAGCAGGCTGCTAATGATTATTCAAAAGGGGTTGATTGTTGGGTTTGCTGGTGTAAAGTTTATCTTCCCTCTTCTCTGTGCCTCTCCTTGTCACTCCACTCAGCCTTCATACATCACTTGCCATAATCGAGTCACAGAAAACAAAACTTACATTATGGAAATTCACAGTCTTTTTTCCATTTTACAGATGAGACTCAGGATTTAGAAGGCAAAACAAACAAACACACAAAAAGGAGATTAATTTTGGACCTTCATGAATGGTGCCAAAGTGAAAAAAAAAAGGTAAAAGAGGAAGGGACTGAGTGTTGGATGAATGTTTATCTCGGTGCCTGGTACCATACCTGCCTTACACCCTCAGAACACAAGGAAGGGTGTGTCACTAGAGCCATTTTGCTAAGGAGGAGATTAAAGCTCAGGGGGGCTGAGCAACTTGCCCAAATTTGTGTTGCTGGAAAATGATAGAATTGGAATTGGAAGCCATACTGTATCTAAAGTAGAGATGTTTAAATATTTTCTTCCTATACCACACAAAATAAACAGAAGGCAGTGTCTCTCTCTCTCTCTCGTCCCTGTCCGCCCCCCAGTCTCTGTACCTGTTTTCTCACAAGGGTGTACCACCTGCTCCCTACTCCACATTGCGTCTATGAAGAGAGAAAAGGAAAAAAGGAAGTTGCTTCAAGAGCTCCCCAAATGCTCAATGGAAGCTGCTCTTTGTTGTACATGGGCAGTGATTTCTTTAGAAAAAGTAGTGACGTAGACCTGCCTGAGGTCAGTGATTCCTAGAGCCGTGGACTTGGGGAAGTGCCAGGGAAGCATTGTGCTGTTTAAAAACTTGTTTTGGAGCATGTGCTTGTGTGTGTGTATATTTCTGAGCCTATCTGTTTTCTCATAGGAGCTGCCTGGCAGTGGTCGCAGGTGAAGGTAATGGTGAAGAAGATGCAGATATTGGCAATTTGGAGCATTCGATGAACTAATTACAACATTAACCTAAAGACCAGTGGTGAGAACATTTTACCCAAAGTGAAGTTCTTGAGGGCAATCTTGGGTGGCACCTAGCCTCTGTATTAAATAAAATGGACATCCCTTGGGAGAGAATGTGGCTCTTTTCAATTCTGATTAGGGCCAAAAGAGTCTCCTTGATGCCAGCATGACCTTAGTGCCTTTAAACATAGACTGTGCTGCCATTTCCACAGAGAGGGACAAGCAGCAGGCTGGGGTCCTTGAACAGGCAGTGGGGCCCGGCCAAAATTTTCTTAGATTGCTTTATTTTCCTTTAGTTATGATTACATTTATAGCAAATGATTACGGTTTTTCTATTTGTGGTAATTATAAGGGATGTCTTTTAAATATATGTATTTAAGTAAAAAGATCAATTTAAAGAAGAAAACAGTTGAGTGAATGATAGTAGTGTGGAGATGTGGCAAAAAGGATGAAAGTGTCACTAAAATAATTGAAAGATGGGGGCTGGGTGCAACAGTTCACACCTGTAGGCCCGGCCCTTTGGAGGCCAAGGTGGGTAGATCACTTGAGCCCAAGAGTTCAAGACCAGCCTGGGCAACAAAGTGAGACCTTCTCTGTACAAAAAAATAAACAAAATCAGCCTGGTGTAGTGGTGAGCACATGTAGTCCCAGGCACTTGGGAGGCTGAGGTGAGAGGATCGTTTGAGCCCAGGAGGTTTAGGCTTCAGTGAGCCAAGATTGTGGCACTGCACTCCAGCCTGGGAAATAGAGCGAGATGCTGTCTCAAAAAATAAGAAATAATTGAAATATGGGGATATAATAGTGGATTAGTTTTCAGCATATCTTCCATTTCAGACATTTTATAATTCTAATTCCATCATTTGAGAATCATGGGAAAATTAGAATCATGCAATATTAGAAAGGAAAGGGATAACTGAGTCTGCCCTCCTCATTTTACAGCTGACGAAATGGAAGCTTAGAAAGATGTGACTGGCCCAAGGTCACACAGCGTTCTGTTGGCTCACATCCCATTTGTGTGTGTGCACGGGTGTGTGCACACAGGTGTGTGTGTGCATGTGTGTTGATGGGAATGGGGGAAGGAAGAGAGCAGGAGGGTAGCCTGAATATCGAACCGCCTGGGCTTTAATGTAATTCAGGTTGTCTTGGCACCATGGAGGGAAAGAGGGAAGACAGAGGGAACAATCTTGGAACAAAATGAGAACTCCTAGATAACAAGAGAGGGGGTGGGGGAAATATCCTGAAAATCTAAGTTTCCTGTGTGTGCTAAAGCAACAAGGGCAAGAGCTGGCTGATTTCCCCCAGTAAACACAGCAGTGGCTTTTTGCTGGGGAATGTGGCGTTAAATTCAATAGGTCAGCATTAAGCTTGAACAAAATGTGATGACTGATTAGGAAATGAATGGTAAGTCATGGACGGCAGATCCTGGTTGTGATGATGCTTATCAACACCTTCCCCCCCCCCTACACTGAAACAAACAAAGCTGCACAATGTCCTTGCAGGCTGACAAAACTGGACCCACATGTGCTGGTCCTGGGACAATTGAATTCTGGCTATGCCAGTCATCTATCAGGAAATTAGATGTCAAAGGAAAGGACCCAACGACGCTTCAGGGCCTGTGCTTCTGGGGAGGGGGTGCCCCTGCCTCCTCCTCACCATGAGGTCTGCCCTGAGACCTGCTTTCCTATTGAGATTACAAAAGTGAGATGTAATCCAGGATTAAAGCTCCTCTTTTTGGATGGGGCTAGGGGCCCGATGCATGGCCCAGAGAGGAAACTTGATATGTTTTTGTGGAATGACCAGAAGCCTGGATAAATCAATGGGTCTCTCACCGTGCTTGATGTAGAGCCAGAATTTGATAAAGGTTCATCTCCTGCTTATCGTCATCCTGTGTGAATAAGTCACTCAGTGTTTTCAGTGTCACTATTTCTTCATGCCTAAAATTCAGATAAGAAAGTGTCTCCTACAAATAGGTTCTTGGGATATGGGACAAAATGAGTCTGCTGAGTGTGATAGTTGTCTATTCATTCACTCATTAAATCGTTCATCCAACCAACTGCTATTTGTTAAGTATTTAGTAGGGCTGTAACATAGACACCTCCTTATAGAGGTTAAGATCTAGTGGGCAAGTCAGATAGCAATTATGTACATAAATAGATAACCAAGATAATACTTTTAGAATATCATACATGCTAGAATGAAATAGTAATTAGATAAAAATAGTAATGACAATAGTAATGATAAAAGCTAACATTTATTAAATACTATAAACCACACACTGTTTTAAACCTTTACCTGTATTACATGTTTAATCTTTATTAACATCTTATTCTTTCAAGGAGTAATAAAGCTATTATTCCATTTTATAAAGAGCTGGAAAGCAATGGGGAGCAGTTGGCATTTTAGACAGAGTGGCCAAGAAAGACTTCCGTGGGAGGTGACAGATAAGCAGGGCTGGAAATGTTCATGTCTTGTGTATCTCTAAGATCCATATTCCTCTTTCCACTCACCCCACCCCTGCACCACCATTATTTGGTGAAAACCACCATATTGCTCATTGGCATTGCAACTACCTTCTAACTGGATGCCCTTCTAGCAGCCAGAATGGTGTGACAGTGACTGGAGGTGCAGATGGGTTGGCTCTGTGCATTTGGTCCATTTACTTCCCTGCTGACCTTTCTAGGATGTGGCTTATTGGTATTCCCTGAATTTGAAGACTACATGGCTGAGACTCTGGGATGACATGACAAGGAGTAATGACTCACTACCATGTATTTACCCATGGGGAAGCTGGGAGTTTTTTTTTTTTTTTCTTTTAAACATTAAGTCATGCCATTTACTGTGGGAATGGGGCAAAAAATTACCCAGTGGTGGAGGCAGAAGCAAGAATAATGTCCACAAATGGTAAGTTCCACAGCTTTTCACCTCCAATATCCCACCTGGGTCTCCCAACAACCTTGTAAAACTGATTGCTATGCATGTTGCATGTTTGGGAGATCAGAGAAACAAAGGCCGAGATGCTTCATAAGTGTAGCCAAAGCCATACAGCTAGTGCTTGAGCTTTTTCATAAATAAAGAACCTGTTCATTCACCTGACCATAGCCGATAGAGATAGTTTCTTTCTTAAAAACAAAGCCAACCACCAGCACCACAATTACTACTACTTATTGTTATACGTATTTACCCTGTGCCAGTGTCTTAATTCTGGTTGCTATAACAAAATATTATAGACTAGGTGGCTTTTAAACAATAGAAATTTATTTCTCACAGTTCTGGAGGCTGAGAAGTCCAAGATCAAGGTGCTGGTAGATTCAGTGCCTGGTGAGGGCCTGTTCTCTAGTTGACAGATGACACCTTCTCACCGTGCCCTCACATGATAGAAGGAGTAAGAGGTCTCTCTGGGGCCTCTTTCATAAGGGCACTAATCCCACTCGTAAGGGCTTTAAACCCATCACCTAATCACCTCCCAAAGGCTCCATCTTCAAATACCATTACCTTGGGAGGCTAGGATTTCAACTTATGAATTCTGGGGAAACATAAACATTCAGTCCATAGCATTCTATTTTGGCTTCCCCCAAAATTCATGTCTTTCCTACATGCAAAATACATTTATTCCATTCCAATAGCTTCAAAAATCTTAACTTGTGCCAGCAATGACTTTAAAGTCTAAGTCCAATGTCTCATCTAAATATGATATTTAGATATCAGATGTGGGTGAGACTCAAGATATGATTCATTCTGAGGCAAATTCCCTTCTAGCTGTGAGACTATAAAGCCAAACAAGTTATATGCTTCCAAAATGCAATGGTGGAACAGGCACTGTAAGACATTAACATTCCAAAAGAGAGAAATAGAAAAGAAAAAATGAGTGACAGGTCCTGGGCTAGTCTAAAACCTCAAGGCTTGAGAAAGATTTTCTTTGACTCCAGACTCTGTCGTCTAGTCTTACTGGGATGGTGACCCTGATCCCATGGCTCTGTTGAGCATTGCTATAGTGGAGGCTCTCTGTGGTGGTTGCACCCCATGGCAACTCTCAGCCTGAGTCATGAATCTGAGGATCTGGGCAGCTCCATGTTCCTAAATCTGGATGGAGGCAGCCATACACCAATGGTTCATGCACTTTGTTACCGGCAGATATGGTACCCTGTGGATGCTTCCAAAATTTATCATTTGTGTCTTCCAGAGGGGCAGCCACAGTGTCCTGTACCACACCTTGTTGGAGACTGAAAGAGTGAGGGTCGTGATCAACTCAGTATACCACTGGAGGCTATATGAGTAAGCAGCAAACTGTTTCTCATAAATGCAGCATTTTGGCAAATTGACAAACTGCATATGCCACCCGGAAGGACTGCTGAGGGCAGTCATGACCCAAGTGCAAGTGTTTCTTGTGATTACGCATAATTTAAGCCTGTTAGTAACAATATGAACCTGTGATCAATTAAGCAGCTGACCCATCGTTACCTCCTCCTCCCTCCTCATTCTACCCAATAAATAAGAAGGGCTGTGGAAGCTCGGGTGGCTGCTTTTGCTCTCTAGAAGCAGGGAGCCCTTTTCCTCTTCTCTTCTTCTCTCTTCTTCCTCCCCATGCTAACCTTCCCTTAAAATAGTTACTTTTGTTTTTTGTTATCATTTCTATGTTTGTCCCTTCATTCAGTTGTAATGACAGTCTCAAGCAGTAACAGTAGTAACTGCTGTAATGATGGTCTCAAGTAGTAACCGTGGCAGTCGTCACACACCTGGCCTCACTGGAGCCACACCTGGGTGGCTGAAAATTGCCATCCAGGAATTGCCATTGGAAAGTAGGGAGTAGAGCCTAAGGTAGTGCCAGGCAGCCAGTGCTGAGGGCCCACAGGTAAGTCTGAGGCTCTTCCTTTAAAATTGTTCTGTCCTCCAGGCTCTGAACTCTGGGCCTGAGAAGGTAAAGGCAGCCTTGATGATCTTTGAAATGCTCTTGGGGTTATTCTTCCCTTGTCTTGGCCAAGAGGTCCTGGATAATCCATACTAATCTTCTTATCAAAAGGTTGCTTTGCCACACCCTATTCCTGAATATACTTTCTCATACTTTTAATACGGGTAGGCTGTGAAATATCCTAACCTTTAAATTCTGTTTCCCTTTT